ACTTGTTATGTTCATGAGGTGGAAGAAGAACAAAACATGCACAACCAAAAACCTTAAGAAGATCATAAGCAAGAAGAATACCATGCAAATGCTCGTATGGAGACTGATTATTAAGAACTGATGATGGAATGCGATTAATGAGATAAACAGCTGTAAGAGCAGCTTCACCCCAAAATCACTTTAGACAAGAAGATGAAATGTGCAGAGTATGAATAGAATCAAGAACATGTTTGTGTCTACATTTAGTTCACCCATTCTATTCAATAGTGTATAGACAAGATTGTTGTGTTAGTGTACTCTGTTTTTTCAAAAAGGATTGAAGTTTAGTACTAAGATATTTAGTGGTATTGTCAATTCTCAAAACTTTGGTAATTTTAGAGAACTGAGTTTTGACCATGGTAGCAAAATTAATATAAATTTTTGATAATTCAGAGTGATTTTTCATAAGTGAATGACTTCGAGGGGGAATAGTGTAAGGATAGGCCTAAGGTTCTTAACCTCGGACATATTGCTACGTTTCGTTAATAACCGAAGTGAAGGTTAAATCCATCACTTCCTAGTCAAATAGCTAGATGACAGGTACAGTGAACATGTCCACACATGATTTCTCGATCCCGAAATCATCGCCTGAAGGGATACATTAGACTCCAATTATCTCGTTAAGCAAGCCACGTGGACACCTCATTGAGGCCTATAAATACCCCCCATGGCCACCTCAAAAAGGTAATTGAAATCGACCTAAAGCTCATTTTTCTATTATTCTAACGGTAGATTCGATTATTGTTGACTTAAACATCGGAGTATCTACCCCTCGAGGATCCACCTCGGGGCTTTACAGGTTTATCTAAAGTGAAGACATGGACTGAAAAAGGACTTCTAATTTGGTGCAATTACAAGTAGGTTCTTAAAACTACCTTGTCTTACCCATGAGCGGGTGGATGAGTTGGCACGAGACTCTTCCAACTTAACCAAAGGTCTTGGTTTCAAGCCCTAAGAATGCAGCTTCGTTAAAACTTATGAGAGAGAGATTTGTCGCCTATTGAGTCCTACCCACTCAATTCAGATTAGTCGGTAGTCCAATGAACTTCTGAATACCGGATGGTCCATATCGAAAAAAAAAAAAAACTACCTTGTCTTCAGTGTAGATAAACTTATGAGTGTCTTACCCAAAATTAACAACCCTTGTACGAGTAGTTTTTCTTTTTCTTTTTCTTTTTTTTTGTATTTCCCTATCCTCACGTTTCCCTTTGTCAAGAAAACAAATATTTTCTCAAATTTAAGCCATTAAACCTAAACAATGTTTGGAAATATTTTTTTTAAAGAAATTAAAATTGAAAGCAAAAAAATAAAAAAATAAAAACGAAACTGAAATTGCTTTTATTTAACAAGGTACCAAAAATAATTAAAACCACTGTCTTCTTTCCTGTTTCTTTTTTAACTTTAAGACAAATGTATTGTCTTTTACTCTTTTTTTTCCACTGTATTTTGTTTTTTGTGTCTTTTACCTGGAAACAACTAAAGGAATTATTCTTACAGAACTGGGTAATTATATTGGTGTCTGCAAACTACGGAATAATTGTCAGGTAAAGACCACTAACATTAATTGGACCATTAGCTGTGAAACATTGGTGCGATATTACGGTCATGGTTAAGACCACTAGCATTTATGGTCTTTAAAAATTATAAAATATTATTTTAAAAATATTAGTTTAATTTAATTTAATTTATAAAAATTATTAATAATTATAATTATTGATTAATAATTAATAAAATAATTAATATTTATTATTTAATAAATTAAAATTAATTAATAAATTAATACTTTTAAGAATATTTAAAACAATTAAAATTTTGATATGCTTAACCATTTTAATGATAGTAATAACCACATTGATACCATTAGGGTATTAATTTTTTTTTTTTTTTTATCATTGGCCACTAATGAGGAGGTGTGACTATGGTAAGTGGTAATCCATTATTTTATTTTGGATAAAGTGGCTGAAAAAATATTATTTCATAAGTTAGAAAATATTGTATAAGAAATTAATAAATTTTTTTGAAGTTTTATTAAAACTTGTTAAGAAGTAAATATTGAAAAAGTTGATAGAGAGATGCTATTAAATAAGTCTCTGATTAAAAAAATTGAGAAGAGTTGGTAAAAAAAAAATATTAAGTGACTTAATTAATTAAAATATAAAATTTTAAGTTAAAAATTTTAAAGGTTAAATACCCTTTTTGGTCCTTCTACTATAGGAAAATGCCTCTTTTTAGTCCTTATATTGAAAAAATCCCTTTTTTTGTCCTTAAAGTTCAAAATCCGATTCTTTTTTTGTCCCTCCGTTAAATTTTGACTGATGTGGCAAGTTAATTAACGAAAAACCTTTTTTTTTCTTTACTTAAATTGTGTGGAAAATCCATCTGGCAAAATTTGATGACATGGCCAAATTTTTTACATAATTACCATTACAAATATTTTAAAGATTATTTTGTGGTTAAAGGTACTTAATTTTAATTACTTATTTGCC